GCACGCCAGGATAAAGGAGAAACTATCGGTGTATGATCGATCCACTCGCGAAGACCAGCTACAATGTCGAGTGGAAAAACGCGCGATCACGCTGAGGTAATTGTGCGATCGGCAGGCATTTTGCCGCGGCAGCGAAAACATGCGCAGCCTTGTACGTTGGAAAATTAGATGGCAATTAGAATATATATAACGACGTTGGTGTGCGGCGTCATAAAGCGCGCTTTTGCCGAGCGCCTTCGGCGAGGATTTTTCTATCGTACGAAGCAACGGAAAAATCCTCGCTCGCGCGAGTCACCTCTGCGTCGGCCGCGCGTTTATTTGCCAAGGATCCGTCGTTCCGTTTGCCGTCGATCTCGGCCTACGAGTTTACGCGAGGCTCGCTACGCAATGCCCGGTGCACGTGACATCGGCGTCGTCGAATCGCGAGTAAAAGAACTGCGCCGCTGGCGCGCCCTCGAAAGTCACTGGGCCGGGCTCGCCGCTTATTCATAAATCACTCGATGGACAATGCAAGTGGCTAATTATCACGAGGAATCGAAGCCAATGATTCCTCTCTCCGCGACTCGCTCGCGTACGACACTCAGTGTTGCATTCGAAATGCTTTTCGAAAAGAATGCGAGCAACTGTTTTACGGTGAGTCCGAGATAGACAACGGAAGCGGATTCCCGAGAAACACTACCTACCGCGCAAGTAGAGAACAGGACAAAAAGAAAGGAAAAAATCATAAAATGCAAAGAGAGAGAGAGAGAGAGAGAGAGAGAGAGAGAGAGAGAGAGAGAGAGAGAGAGAGAGAGAAAGAGGGAGATGGGCATTGTAGACGACACACGAGCTATCTGGAGTAGATCGTATCAGAAGTGCAGCACGCGGAGAAAATCAGCGCGTAAACGGGGAACGATCGACGGTGGCAGTATAGTGTCTCCGAGTCGCAGTCGCGCGAGAGAAAGACGCTGCTCGCAACGGTAAAAGAAGGGAGAGGGGGGAGGGGTTCTGCGCAACGTCGACCGAGATGAGACTGCGAAGCGCTACCTACATCCGCGCGTGCATTCATTTGAAATGGTAAATTTATCGCCGATGGAAAAATGTGGGGAGTTCGTCATTATCGGCACTCCGCCTAATGGAAAACCGAAAAAAAGGAGCGGGATGGGGGAGCCTTTTCATCGGAATAAATCAAAGATTCGCCGACGTACGATGCGCCAGCGAGGAGGGGAAACGAATAAAAAAAAAGAAAGAAAAAAAAAACGGAAATACCGCACGTAAAAATCGAGGGAGTGCATAAATGAAGAGAAGTACGCAACAGTGCGAGGGTTGGAAAATGGACGTGCTGGACCAAGAAATAGCCCTTGACTTTTCTGTCTCTTCTCGATAGCCAATGTGCATCTCTCTCTCTCTCTCTCTCTCTCTCTCTCTCTCTCTCTCTCTCTCTCTCTCTTCGAAAAGTGCAACTGCTGTACGCTGAGTGCGTTTTTATGTCGGCTCGTGCGATGTATATACGTACACCCTCGGCTGTGTATTTTTAGCCGCTGGAAAAACATATCGGGGGCAAGATTTTCTCTCTCTCTCTCTCTCTCTCTCACACCTGCGAGCCTGAAAAAGATTTTTCTCCAGTATACGAGTGGATGCATAGAATGCGTTTATATGGTTCGGGACATAATATGTGTATGGGCTGCGCATCTGATCGATAGATATATCGAGTTTGTTAAGGACTTGATATGTTACCCAGTTTTTCTCTTTGTATTGGCTGGTCTTTGCTTTAATAGACTTTTATGTCGAGATTGAGTGATGCGATGTCATCGGGTATTTTGAAGCGATCGCCATGAAAATTTATTTGTATGTTTCAATGGAATTTCAACCGGGAAATGGAAATACTCGGAATATGATCGACGTTTAGACGCGAATTGCCATACAGATTTATCTCAATGAAAATGAATTTATATTTGTTGTCATATAAATCGTTTAATCAAAGTTCTGCGTTTTTATATTTTGTTAATTCTGCTCCCCCGATATTTACATGTAAGTATTTTCTACTAACTTGATCAATTGATGTTGCAATGCTTAAACTGCACTAAATATTTTAACTGCATTCAAAACGTTTATATCAATCGTCTAATTAAAAATTATTTGTTAATTGAATAAGTAATACTTTACACCTTTTACGATAAGATATGACTAATTTTGAGTAATTTGAAATGAATAACTCCACATTAACTTAGCAAATCGAAAGCATCAGTAAACAGGGTTCGAAAGAATGATATTCACAGGTTTTACTGGAAACTAAATCCTTATGAAGAAGATGCGCCAAGCCAAGATACCCTATTTTTATTCTTGCATAATGAATCCAAAGTGAAAATCGATGTTTGTTTCGAGATGATTCCATCAAATGTAAATCGAGTAGAAAAATGTCGGGGCAAATTGCATCGTATAATTATGATCCGATAGAGGACTATGGATGGAACCTAAAAATAAATTGTATTCAGCCAAAAGAGGACAATTTAGTTGGTGATGTATTGCAGTGTACTTGACTTATTGACTGGATATGTACCGTGCAGAACGAGTGGATGCAGACTGAAATTCTCATTATAAAATAATGAGAAATTCAGCTATTGTTACGAAAATAAACCATTTGAAAGTATACAAAAGTACTTTTTCTCAGCAATTTTTAATATAATACCAGCGCTATAAAGATCGCCGATGTAATTTATAATATTACGAAAGAAACACTATTGTTCATCTACTCTAGGAAAGTAAATGATTTAAATAAAAATGCCCAAGCGGAAAAGCATGAAATTGAGAATTTGAATGTATTACGCGAACAAAGTATTCGTAAGAGTGTCGATATTGAAGACGCTCGGATTGTCGCTCCTCACAACGTTATAATCATACGCATTCAATTAAAATTCGTTCCGCGCTTGAAAAGTGGCTTTTTTTAGACCGCGCTGCAGACGTGCACGGGTAAATTAAAGAAAGAGAGAGAGAGAGAGAGAGAGAGAGAGAGAGAGCGCCGCGCTCGGCTTGTAAAATGTCCATGCACGCGGCAAAGAAAAACAAGGAGAAAAGAAAACGCAGAGTTAGGGAAATTAGCGGGGTCGAAACTCTCCCTGAGCTCGTTGGCTCGCGCGCAACTGCGCGCCGTGGCGCCCGATGAAATTCGACGAGAGTGGCTGGGCCGTCATTCTTACGCGCAGGAAAAGTCGGTCTCTCGCGTCCTTCTGGTCCCTCGCGCGAGGCGAGCGGGGAGGAGCGCGCGCGCGCGCATATGAATTATTGATGCGAGCGCCCAGCAAAGAGCGAGAGCACTAGCGATCGCCCCCTCGGCAGTCTCGTACCGAAAACCCGAATGACTATAGGGTCCTGCCGGAGATTTCCGATTATTCATCGTGGTGACTGCGTCAGCTTATCCAATTAGAGAGTACGACGGGAGGGGGCAACGAGGCGATCTAATCGCACAATTGATCGCTTACGCTATAAATGCCCGGTTTATTGATAATTCGCCTTCCTCGATCTGTGATCGTATATGACGAAGCGTTTAGAGAATAGACGGATCATTGTTCCATCTCACGTATATTATCCAAGATACAGCGATGCTCGCTCGCGCCATTACATTATTACCAGGCAGCAGCATCCTACGTGACCTACGCCGCGGATCTCCAAGCGCTCGCAATTTCGTTACATCTCCGCGCGGCAACGCGCGATTAACCGAGCAGTTTGACGAGCAGTCCCGCGCGCTCGCAGTTTGGTTGCCTAACTCCGCGAAGTACCTGGCTTTGAAAGGGGCTTTTTTTACGTGTTTCGTTTTTTTTTTTGTTTTTTTTGTTTTTTTTTCTGCGCTCTGCGACGAGGCGGCAATCAGTTTTATAGAGCGACAACGACCATTCGCTCGCTCGCAAAGACAAAGCTTCGCGAGTTATTACGGCAATTAACGCACTGCGAAGGCATTGCGAGAGAGCATTTTGCGCTTTGTCTTGGAAGCACATCGTACCTACTGCGACTCGAGCAAACGTAGAATTTATCGCATCATTTTATTTTATTCGCCTCGGAAAGTCGTTCTCCGCTTGTTTGCTTGGTTATTTCTTTGTTTGTTTGCTTTATTTCGCAAGTAATAGCAATTTTTCGAGAAGAGAGTGGACGTACGGCCAGCGACTTTCTTCTCCTTGACCAAGAAAGATAAGAGAAATTGTTTGTATTCCAGTCGCGGATCTGCTTGCCGTCGGAGCGAAAGTGCGGGGAGAGGGAGATTACGATGACTATTCGATTTGCGCGTATGACGCGCGCGCGAAAATGTCTTATGAATGAAGGTCAAGCGGAAACGAACCTAAAAATCTATTAACCCGTAAAAGGCAAACAGAAGCGCGTACGTTTGTGTATTTTGCATAACCGTCGAAAGCTCGGCCGCGCGTCCAGTGATTTGAAAGCCGTAGAGCAAGGCTGGAGCGAACGTAGATGTTAATCGGAGGAGGATTCTGGGTTAAGGTGGATATTCCGCGGAAGGTACTACGCAGTACAGGCGCAAAAACTTGTCTGGCTATTAGCTCGTAAAGCGCGCGTGCGCGAAGCTCGACGAGCGCGAGCGATCGGAGATAAGAATAACGGGGCGTGCAGCCGACGGCCCGGAGAGCCGAAAATCGCGCGGCGCGCTGCCGGCGACGAGGCGACAGGGAGCGAGCGAGAGAGGGCGCGCGATGTGGGTCAAGGAAGCGCTCCGGGACGAGCCCCGCGAGCTTTCGGACGTCAGCAGCGGGCGCAAAGGTGATACGCCTGCGTAACGGCGCCCGCGGCGCAGGGTCAAGGACGCTCCCCCTCGCCAGCGCGCGCTCCTCCATCTGGCACCTCGCCGCGACCTATTTCCGGGCCGACTCCTCGGCGGGAGCTGCGGCCCGAGTCCTCGGCTCTCGGCGCCGAGCTACGTGTACGCGCGCCGCGCATCGATCGCTGGCGAGCGCGCGCTCATTTTCGAGGCGGCCGCCTCCGCGAGGAAGCTCGGCAAACGACCTGCGTTCACTTACCAATCATGAGCAAAGCGACGGCGATGTGGTCGCGTCCAGTGGCTCGGAGCGCGCCGAGCAGTGCGCCCGCACCAGCGCACACGAGTCCGACCACGCCAACGCCGAGGATCGACCAGCGCACCGGAGGCGAGCCAAGTCCACAGCACTGCTTGGGCACCGCGTCCCTGCGCAAGAACAAACAACAAAAAGACCAGCTCCGTACAGTGACCCACTGACACACACTCCGCTCTCGCGCGCGAGCTCTCCGCCTCCTTTTCCCTCCGCGCTCGCTCTCTCTCTCTCTCTCTCTCTTTCTCTCTCTCTCTCTCTCGGATCTTATCCTGCTATTGACTTTCGGCTAACTAGACCTCTTTGGGAATGGCGAAAAGGCCGTGGTTTGCCGGGAGTCGCGGCCTTTGACCGTCGCGGTCCGCGGTCAAACCCCGCGCCTTTTCATATTCTAATCGAGATCTCGCCGAGCGGAGCGCCATCCGATGCTGCCTCGTTACGCTGCGCGCCTGCCTTTTACTTTGATTCGCAGCTACTCGCTCGATTGAAAATTCTTTTTCGGCTCGGGTTTCTCCCTCTCTCTCTCTCTCTCTTTTCTTGTCGCGATTGAAAATTAGCGCAAGTAACGCCTTGGAATATCATCATGGATTTTTCGCAGTGGAGCTTCCAGTCAAACTCCATTGTCAACGATTTTAATCAGCGCTGCCGAGATCGTCTTTTATTTTTTTCCTCCGCCGAAAATTTGCATAGCGCAAATACGACGACTACCGAGATCACTCCACTGCATTCGCAAGAGAGAGAGAGAGAGAGAGTTTAAAAGCGTCCGTTTGACTTGGCAAAGTTGGACACGTAGCTATAGAATCGTATACCGGGCATAAAGTCTTGAGAAGATAGTTTCTCCGTCCGTCGTCGTCGTCGTGGTCGTGGTCGTCGTTGTCGTCGCCATCGCGCAGCTGCGGGGATTATTATACGCGAGGCTTTAATGAAAAGCCCCCACGACTCTCGCTTCTTCTTTTTGACCCGCGAACAAAGGCTCTTTCAACAAAGAAAAGAAAAAGAACTGCAATCGCGTAATTGTCCAGCGCGCGAACGCAGCAGAGACGACCGTTGGGATCGCGGATCGTTTCACTTTAATCGTGCGCGGGACGCTAATTGTCGCGCGACGCTCCGCGTATCTGTGTTACTGTATTAGGTCGCTCGCGACTTCGAGATATTAATTATGCCGACGGCGTGTCTTTATCGCGAGAGATAACGACTTTCAGTGTGTAACCCGGATTTGCACGCCACTATCTGGCCGACTCGCGCGCGCCCACTCAAAGTGCAATTAAAGCCACGCGGGGAAAGTTGCGATTAATCAACGCGTATAAGTACGCAAAATGCAGCTCGGAATTGCGCGCGGTGAGGCTTATTCAGCATTCATAATTCGTCGACAATGACAGCGGGGCGTGCGCGTGGAAACGCTCGCACGCTCGTAAATTAGGCGGCAGTTTAACCGCCCATTTTTTTTTTCTTCTTCGTTTCGAAACAGTCCTACTTCGACGCTGACGCGCAGATAATCAAAGCGCGATTAGCGAGCTCGTTGTTTGTTTCTAATTATCGTTTCGCGTGCGGACTTTGCGATGCCTTTCCACGCCAAGTTTTCCTCTTTTTCGACAGTGCTGTCCGCGACGTTGATGGGCACGACGACATTAGTTTGCAAATAAAAACAAAATGAATTTCGTTACGTTAACCGTTTGAGTACTAACCTGGTAGTATGTACTTATTATTGAACTCAAGTACGGCGGTACAAAATTCTTTTGTAGTTTCAAGTTAATTTTAAAATACCTATCAGCTCACAAAAAATTTTCCTTGGCTGAACTACTGTTGTAACGTAACAATGTATAATTATTACTCTGTCATTTTTTTGTACTTGGCTCTGGTTTGATAAATAATAATAATAATTATTATCTCGAAGGTAATGTTCTGAAACTTGGTTAGTGATATCCCAGTTGGCAATCGTTGGATCTATCATTAGCAGTTACATCGAAGAGTCTAGCGAGTGACAAACATTTTGAAATACACAACAGCAATCTTCGCGCAAGATTTCGCGATAAGTATAGAGGCCTATCAAACTACTCATTGCGAGAGATAACGATCAAAGGTGTAGTTAAAGGCTGTGGCGAAATAAATTATATGCGAGCTGTTGTTTGCCTTTTTGCGCGCTTGCAAAACAGTCCTTCCTCGTTTCGCCCGTTTGTGTCGTTGAAGAGGACATCGTAACCCATTTCTCGGAGAATTACTTAAATCTTGAGAAAAAAAATAATAAACGTCGAGTTGCTAAACTTTTCCTTCGAGACGATGCGCGACGCGATGAGAATAAAAAGACAAATGCAAAGTGGCCAATGTGCGCAGATAAGTATAAAAGGATTCTCATGGCGACGAGCAGAATAGTAGCGTACGGAAAGACCGGCGAAAGGAATTTCATTTTGCCGTTGTTTTTTCCTTTTTTTTTCGTTTCGTTCTTCATTGTGTGTCTCCATCCATTGTGGCCTGTCATTTGCAACCGACGACCGGCAATTACCGTTTGAACGCACAATCGGTGGCACACGCTGCCGCAAGTTTTCAGCTTTTGACGAAAAAAAAGAAAAAACATCGGAGGCGACGGTAAAAGCTGCGGGCATCGGAAAAATCTCCAAAGTAGTTCTTTTTTGCGCCGTAGCGAGCCGAGTTTCTCAGAAGTTGGGACTTCGAAAACAATGCCTCTCATTATTATAGAAACTTCTGCGTTGGAACTCATTTAGCTATTTTTGTTCTTCCTCTTTTCGATCTTCGCTCCACTTGCGGAGTGCACGTATTATTTCGGGTAGAAAGTAGATATATTTTTTTTTCTTTTGCCTTGTTTTCGTTAATCGATATAACGGGATATTAATCGTTCATTCATAAAACTTTTGCGACGGACGAAGAAGACGAAGAAAGTTCGCGAGGAGACACGAGGCTGCGGTCTGAAATGGGCACATCTAAAACTCGGCTGTAGCCGCTAAACGCTCGATGACGCTCGAAAATCGCCGATCCAGGTCAAACGAAAGTCCTCGTTGTCCGTCCGTTAAAAAGAGCATCTTCGAGCGGCATGTCCGTCGGTTAAAAGTGAAATTTCACGTTTAGTTTTGGGCGAGGACCGTTTGAACGTTTGACAGTGGTTTGTACCCGCTGCTCATACCTCGAATATCATTGCTCTGCAGAGAAATTCAAAAGCCAAAGATCGGTGAAAGTACTATGATCCGATACGTTGAATCTTGCTTTGTTGCATTAAATCGACTTCGATTAATTTCTATACAATAGCCGCGTACACGCAATCGCTCGACTGTGAAGGAAGCCAATATGAAAAAAACACGGCTATCAACTATTATTGTGTAGGCTCGCGAGAAAGGTAAAATTATGCTTTTTCGCGTGATAATTTAATTTAAAAGCAGCTAGAAAACGCACTGCTATAATTATGTCCTTTCTTGTCTAGAACTTTTCGTCGCAGGAAATACAGCATATTTTACTGCCTTCTTGTTGTTTCACTCGCTTCAAAGCTTTTTATCGGCAACAAAGACTAACGGTATTCTAGAAAAGTCTTAAATTTCGCGACTAAACCGTACTATTATCGATTGTAGCCTATGCAATTCCAAGGGGCAATAGCTATACGAAATTATCTCTCTGTGCCCTATAATGCTTTCAAGAGCTTTTTTTTCGTTCGATTTCGCAATTATAACCCGCGAGTGTGCAAATCGAAGGAAGAAAATCCATTTGAAAAAAAGGAAAGAAGGCATGCTTAACAATAACTCAGAGCTCCGACAGACACACAGACAGAATCATTTGTCATGGGTATACCATAGGGAGACGTAAATTACACACGGCGGTGCAATGCACTCTCCCCTAAATTTTCAATTCCGCATATATCCCGACTTCTAGTCCATAAATCTGCTCTCGTGTCCTACATATCCTCCACCTTACGATATTCCGCTTCCCGTCGAAAATAAAGGAAAAAAAAAAGGAAGAAAAAAAAAGAGTCCTCGCCGGCTCTCATTTGGCGAGCGCGTGCAGGCAAGTGCATAATATGAAAATAAGCAGCAGAATCTGCGCCTCGGCGCGGGTTTCGCGCGCACGGCCGCGCGGGCACAGCGGAAAGAGACAGCGGAGAATTTCTCGAGAGGGCGTCTGTTTGCATCGATCGACCCAGCAGCCTAGACCAGACGTGAAACTTAGACGTACGCCAAGAGCCTCTGTCCGCGTGGGTCTGATTATCTGATTATTGCTCTAACGCTCGTGATCGGATCCGATGGTAAAGCTTGGTCATTGATGGCTCATCGTCAATCAAACGCCTTTCTTTTGTTCACACGCTTCCACGATGCCACGAAACAATCGGACTTTTTGCCGTGGTGGCTTCATCCTGTCTCGATTCTCTCTCTCTCCCTCTCTCTCTCTGACGTCGTTGAGACGCTCGCCAGCATTGCGTACGCGCTCGAGAGACGATAGACAATCTTCGCAACGCTTGTTTGTCTACGATCAACACCGGTGCGTTGTCTCGCTCCAATCAGCGTGCGCAAACATTGGCCGAAGAAACGCTCGAGCTAAAGATCACCTCTGAGCGGCGACGCTACCGACGAAGCGAACACAACGGCATCGAGACGCGCGGGCGGCAGACACTTTTCGCGATTGGCGAGGCTCCATCGCCGCCACGCGGAGCTAATCGGTTGGAGTGCGTTATCCGTCGATGACTTCCCGCCCACGGGACACACGTCGCGGCGCGGCTCCGCTCGTTCGCCGCGCAAGTAGTCGCTGGCTCGGTCGAGTCGCGCGAAGAAAGCTCTGGTCCCGCGCGTAATCCATTGACGCGCGCGTCGAATACCAACGGACGAATGGCGAAAGGAAAGCTCGAACGTTCTCCAAAGCCAACGTCGACGAGAATTAAGGGTCGAACTCCCGGCCGCGGCTGACGATGATTCGCCAGTCGCGAAAGCGTCGGCCGACTCGCCGGAGCTCGCGAACGATAACGAGCCATCGAGCGCGAGCTGCCCAAAAGCACTCGTTAGCTGTTCTACGGTCGCGTAACGCCATTAATCCCACCGACGTAACGAGCGTTATATCCGCGTTAAATCCAGTTAATCGGCGTCGGAGAGTCCAATCAATTATACGAGTTGACGCTTTCGAGGGGAAAAAGTCGGCTGGCGAGCGTTTTGACGCTAAGAAAGGGCTACCGGCTTTAGTCAGTGAGTAGGTTTCGTCACGGCGTTAACGGTATCTCACAACGTACACGCGCGCGCGCACATGCACACATACACATGTGCACGCTCGCCAGTAAAAAGAAAAGACGACCACGAGATTTTATAGAGGCGATATATTTTCTGCTCTCGTGTTCGCTCTTCGCTTCTGGATTTTACACCATCGGCGCCTTCATAAATATGGAATTGGCTGGCTGTTACAGTTATCGTCCGAGTCAATGTATACATATTATACATATATTTATTTTAATTTCCCTAACTGTGTTTGCATATACTCGTCAGCCGCTCCATTTGCATGTACAGGCTTCTATATTTTGATACTTTCGCGAGTGCCGAGTCCACTGGAGTGTGCGTTCGAGTACACTTTTTCACATTCTAATTTTCCAACAGCCGTATAATGTCGAAATAACGATTGTCGTATCGAACGTCGCGCGCGCATACGAATGCTCGATTTACCATATTCATTTGGGCTCATTTACCTCTTCCCTATTTTCCCTGACTCCGCAATGTGGACAGAAAAGAACCGACGCGTGTAGGGCTCGGTTATTCCTTGACGACTTGCTCGTCGATTCGTCATCGCGGTCAGATAAGAGACGATACACGAGAGAGCGAGAGCGAGAGAGAAGACGCGACGACGTCGAACGAATCCGCGAAGAACTGGTAGTCGGCTGATTTTCGAAATACGCTTCGAACGAAAATACAAGCGAGTTTGGCGCGCGCGTGTACACTTTCTACGGGCATGAACTGCCGCCGTCGCGCGTACCTCGGCGACGAAAGCGCCCCATAAATCGCCCGTTGACGTTATCATTAATCGAAACCGACACAGAAAAAAAAAGAAACAAGTACCTCGCCGAGTTATGCGTTTTTTGTTTGTTTGTTTATATCTGCTTGTCGAAGGCTCGCGCGTGCGCCAACGATTGCTCGCTTGCCGAACTCAATTGTCCGAGCTCGGCCGCCCGTAAGCTAGCTCACTTTCACGCGCGTCTGAGAATAACGAAGAAGAAAGATAAGAAAAAAACAACCAGCGAGTCATTCTACTTTGCTCCTCCTTTTCCGCGTTGCATGCTCGCGCGCGCGAGGCATCGCGGCGCTTCCGTCTCCCCCGCCGGCGTCTTTCTCTCGAGAGCGCGCGCGGCGGCGGCGGCGGCCCACTATTGCGATATCCGACAAGTTTCTCGCGGGATTCGCGCGAATTTTCCTCTGCTCGCTCTCCCAGGCACGGCGACGTGTACGCGCACGCCCGAGAAAAGCTTTTGTCTTGCGTCGACGCAGAAATTTTCTATTCACGGTGCCGCGCGCTGCTCTTCGCGAGCTTTTCCGAAATTTCGCCTTCAAGAGAGATTCACCGCGCGAACAATGACGGCGGTCAAGCGGGAAGATGAATTTTCCATACACGATTCGAGGATTTACGAGCTCAACTTTCATACTCTTCAGCGTTGCGCAAGCTTACTCGAGTGAGCGCGTAGAGCTGCACATACAACGCACTCAAAACATCACGTTTGATAGATTGCCAGGGAGAGAGTGCGATGATAATACATCGCGAACAGAGCAGAAGAAAGAGCGTGCAAAATTGGAAAGTAGCGCCTAATAAGCACGGAGTTCGGTGAGCAGCTTAAAAACACGAGACGTCGCGAAATGACGTCGCTTTGCTCGTGCGCGGATAGTACATCTGTCGACAGGCAAATCGAGCGGACTCGAGCGCATAATACACACGCGCACGCGCGCGCGCGCGCACACACTCGCGCAGCCAGAAAGAGAGACAGGCCGCGAGTATAGAGCAAAGTCCCGCTGAGCCAGAGAGCATTGGAAAGGTCTTTGGCGCGTGAGCTCTCGTTCTCCGCAACGTCCAACGCGTATGTATACGTACGAAATAAAAGGTGCGTCGGCGGCGGCAGATATACACACACACACACACACACACACACTCGCGTGAGAGCTAACGGTATAGCGCGTTTGCACATGCGGACGGAACGGATGAGTGCGAGAGAGAGAGCCTTCCGAAAATTAAATTTCGTTTCGGCATTATACATATGCACATGTATATATGTATAGATATACGTCAATCAGCCGCGCCACCTATCTTCGCGGATAATAGCATCCCAGACAGATTTAACGCTCGGCCGAGCTCCACGGCCATTACTTCCATCCAGATGACGGGATCGTATTATCAAGACTTTGTCTGCCCGATGGAATCGGATGGATTTGGCCTATCTGGTCGTCGCCGCTGCAGCTTCGTCGTATCGGCTCTTTCGAGCTGCGAGGCATTGGCTTTCGCGCCGCGCTCGATGACCTACATCACGCGCAATTCGCGAGAGGCTGTGTCTCGCTTGTCGGCGATGTATCCTATGGCGCTCCTAATCAGCTAATTATCATGCAGACTCGATAACGCCGAGTGTCGGCGAACTGGTTTTTCGGCTGACGGACAATCGACGCCTTTTTCTCACAGTCCGAAAGAACGGACGCGGACGCCCTAACAACTTGTCGTTACGCGGCGCGTTCAAAATAATGGCCGTCTAATGATTTCTTTATACGTGGCGTGCACAGACAATTAAGATATTGCGCGGTTTGTTGTGCGTAGAAAACGAATTGACAATATCTTGGCTAATGTTATGTTCTCAAATGCCGATGAACGTTGCAGAAAAACAACGTTTGTTTATTCTTTGCTTTTGTTTCTTGTTTTGCTCCGTGATAAACAATTTCTACAAGACTCACGAAGAAAAACAATTCCTGAAAGAGTCGAAGTAACGAAGAATAAAAGTTGCATGTGCTTTTATCGAAAACCGATACTTCGCACTCGAGGAGGTATTCGATCGGAAGAATACACGAAACATCGGCGCTATGTAAAACCGGTACAATCGGCAAATCGCTGGATGGAAAATTTGGACTCAGCGGGCACGCGTAAATATAAGAAGTGGCCCGTCGACGGCAGAATAATGGTCGGGGCGCGCGGGGAGCGAGGCAACGAGCGTCTCCTCGCGCAGTCGCTTTGTCGCCGCATCGAGAAGGTCGGGGAGAATGAAAGTGTCGCAATCATCGTCGTCGGCACGGAAAGCCATCATCGCCGTCGTCGGGCCATCGGCTCTGCAATCACAATCATTAACACACGCGCGCTATGTGCCTTTCTGCTCACGAAGAACCAAGGGCTCGTTCTCTTTTTCTCCACCCTTCGCCGCCGTGCGCGTGATTTTAATGGCCGTTTCATTATATATATGTATATATATATCTCTGTTTTCCTCGCGGCAGCGGCGGCGGCGCGAAAAAGTTCCGGCTTTAATTTACTCGTTAAGCTTTCCGCCGCGCGTCGCGGCGCGTTTTTACAGGCGTCGATCTGTAATATCACGAACTAAGATACAAAGAAGTCTCCATTTTCGTTTTTCTTCCGTCACGGGGATCATAATTATTCCCGTACCCAGCGGCCATACATTGCGCTGTTAAACGTTATATAATGCATAAAAAGGCTTCATAAATAAATATAATCGTTATCCCATCCATCGCATTTCTCGGCGGGCGGAACGGCTGGTTCATTGTCACGTATCTGGCATGCACGAAATTCCCATTGGGTAGGCGCATATACCATTAACGACGACGAGGCGGCGCGAGCATGTAGCGTGTAATAGGCACTTGGCCGCCGTGCGGTTTTTTTTTCTGCCTCTCTTTAATTTCGCGCTAGTCGACTTTTCAGCTATATTAGGTAGACATACACGGCTGTCGATTGCGAAATCAACATCGACCAATCAAAGCCGTTTCGTTTCTCCCGCGCGGACCTTTCGCGAGCTCAGTTGCAGCGCTTACCAGGGGCAAAGTATCCCGGGAGAGCGCGGCAACAATCAGCGCCGGTCGTTAGCTAACGGCATGCGTTTAGTCGAGTAATTGTTGCAGCCTTTTATTATTTTTCTCGATCGTCGAAAGGGACCTTCTTTCATAGACGCGTCAAGGACGCGCGCGAGCTTTTTCTAGGTCGCGTAATCAAAGAGTAGACCGATGCACGGGAGGATTCGTTTTTTCCCTCTTCCATGCCATCGTAACGACGACGTTGCATTTTCTTTTGTCAGTTTGCCAAGTTGTCAAAGCACAATGACCAGAGTTGCGTATGCGCTTGCTCTGATTAAGCGAGGTTTGAATGAGCGCGCACAAACCGAAAACCGAATGAAGGCGAGCGGACCGACAACAATTGCATCCTGGTCTGATTGATAGTTGTCGGTGTCGTGCGGCCGCCACGTTACTTCATCGTCGTTTGCGAAAGGCCGCGATATTCCGGTATAACGCGATAATGAAAATAGAATTGGGCATTCTTTCTCATCTTAACGAATTGCAATCTCCGTGACAAGAAACACGAACGGAATCGCCGGGAAGCCGCGTTAAATCACGTCGTAAACAAACAAAGAGAAAAGAGAGGGGGGGAGAGAGAGAGAGAGAGAAGTTGAAAAAGCGTGGTAGTCGAGTTGGTTCGCGCGCCGTGCACATATTAAAAAACTTTTTCGCAGTTCCGTTCGTCGACATTCAGATCTGTCCGTCCGCGCGCGCAAAAGTCGACGATTTACGAGCCCCGGATACTTAATCTTTCCTTGCACCATACGAGCGCAATAAAAAGTCTCTCTTTATCCTAGAACTGCCACAATGCCGGGAGATTGTCGCTTCCCCATCGAAAATAAGTCGATGCCCTCTCGGTGATGGACTTGGCCATCGTTGTTTATCGAAGCCGCACAGCCCGCTGGTGGCAGTGCTAAGCGAGACGAGCGAAAGCGCGGCGCGCACGAGAAAGGGAGGCGGAGAGGCGGCGTCGAGCGGAGGAGATGGAAAAGACAATGTAACCGAAAGAATAGCAAATGAAATGGGCATTTACACGAGGCGCTGCTGATCATCAGGATTAACTGACCTGCCGAAGGCGGACACGCTGGCCGGCACGGGGAAGGGCAGTCCGAGACTGAGTCCCCGGAGGCCAAGGTGCGCCGGCGGCGGGTGCAGGAAGCCGGAGTGCGCGGCGGCCGCCGAGGGCGGCACGGCGGCGTGGCCCGCCGCGGCCAGCAGGCCCGGGTAGGTGGGCGGCACGCCGGCGGCGGCGCAGGCCCCGTTGACCGCGGCGGCCGCGGCCGCGGCCGCCGCGGCGCCGCTCGCCCGCTGCATCGCCCGGCGGTGCTGGCGGCGCATCCGCCTCTCCCGGCGCCGCGCGTCCCTCAGCTCTTCCGACAGCAGCTCCGCGTGGCTGCTGAGCGCCTGCGGCCCGAGCAGCATCTGCGGCGACAGCTGCTCGGTCTGGGCCTCGGTGGAGGCGAACGAGCGCGCCGGCAGCGTCGTCGTCGCGGCGACGGCGTCCCCACCGCCGCAGGTGCTCACCACCGTCACCTGGTCATGGCCGGCGCTCGCCAGTGGTGGCGGCGGCGGTGGCGGCGGCTGCTGCTGCTGCTGCTGCTGCTCGGACGACGCTGCCTCGCCGTCGACGCGGACCACGCTCACTGGCCTGGGGGCACTCTCGGACAGCGCCCCGGCCATCGTGCGGCCCTGGACATCGGTGGCCTCCACTATCCCCTGCGTTTCGCTGCAGCGTCGCAGCGCGATCTGCTCGCTGGCCCTTGGTTTTCGGCTCGCTCGCTCGATCAGCTGCGTGCTCGCGCCTTTCTCCGCTGTGCGTCCATTTCCGAACGGGGCTGCGTCTCTGCAACACGAGGGACGGAAGGCAAATGATTAAGGTGCGCTGGTCTGAGTTACGGTATTCGATCGCTTCGTTCGCGGCGGATTGTCTCTCTCGCTGCTTTCCCTTCGGTGATTAGCTTTACGTAAGCCGTCGCTGTCGCTGGATCATCTCCGGCTGATAGCTTGTGAAACTAGCTGTAACGTGTCCACGTGTCATTTATCCTGACTGTATCGCTCCACGAGAGAGACGACGGAAAATTGCTCCAAATTGATTCATTTAGCTCTCTTTATTTGATCGATGTAATGTATCAGACCGACAGCATATCTATGTATTGCGCTTTCGGAATTCGACACTGGAGATAGGATACCCAATAGCTCTCATTTCCAAAAAAAGCGCCTACAACGCTTGCTAAATTAGTTAATTCACGAAAATAGCCCTCTGCTCATATTGTACTTTTTAATACCGTAATAATCCATCAAGCAGCGTGTAGATATATAAAATTTTCAGCACGTTGCTCATTTCCACATACACGATTTTTATTCATGCGGCAATCAAGCAGAAACATGAAATACGCGCGCACGATGAGTTTAATTAGCCGACATATTCGAAGCGCGTTCGATGCAACAGTACTCTACTAATTTATTTATTTATTTACTTTTTCATTTTCAGTGTGTTTCCCGTCGTCGCACACAGACCTAGGAAAAATGAGAAACGAACGAGTGAAATATCTCACTACCAAGAGTTTTTCCAATATGATCCAAGGGGCTCGTCGCGTCGAAACGAGTTGCGCCGCGTGTTTTCTAAGATGCGCGCGACTCGCAAGCCATCTTCGTCGAAGGAAAAGCGCACCATATGATTTTCCGGCGTGCACGCGGCTCGACGTAGACGCAGCGAGGCGAGCGATAATTCGGCGCGGCGAGCCCAACCCCGGCTTGGATCTTTCCTCTCGGTCCGATTGGCGAGATGGGTGGCAGGTAGACGAGCGAGCTCCTTGATAACTGTACGCGCGCGAGCTTACGTCGTAAATTAAGCGTCGCGTTCGCGCGATCGTTTTGACAAACGGTACCTCCGAGCTCTTTGCTCGCCCGAGCCACTCGCGCGAGCGAGCGCTTGCGGCGGCAGCTGCGCTTGAAAATTTCAAATGCACGCGCGTTATGTGACACATTGTGTCCACTAATTGGCCCTTTCGCTTTGGCTTTAATTAACAGACACACACACACAAGCACGCACACGTTATAAAACACAAAGAGAGGTACTAGATCTATTGTTGCGTAACCGTCCCTCCTCTCTTACTTCGTAACGACATAACGACACAACACCTTCTTTCTCCATCACTTTAAGCGCTTTTCCGATCTCCCGATCATCTCGCTTCAACACCGACGTTGAGTCGCCTTGGCTTCTCCCTCTCTCTCTCTCTTTCTCTCTCTCTCCTTCGGATGGGTTATCGCGCGCTGCTGGACATTAAAATATATCGAATCGCTGTGCCGTTGCATTGTAATACAATGCGCTCGTTGCGTAATGCCAACAGATGCCGTACAAAGATTCCTTTTTTATACTTTTTCTCCCCCGTGGGTACATTGTTTTCGGTTTACGTGATGTTTCCGCGAGAGAGATTCAATAACTTGATATGGGACAGCCACGATACTTTTCTTTGTAAATGCCCAGCCTAAACGCTGTAACCTTTGCGGGAGAGGCTCTTGCAGTCGTTTACGACGCTCTTCTCGCACAATAAGTTTCGCGCGCACACACACACACACACGTTGTTTTTTTATTTACGATATATAACGTTCGTAGAAAGTTCAGCACATATTTTCGAAATATTAATCACGTCTGCGATGAGAGCCGCAATCGGGCGCTGTACGAAAAGTGGGCGTCTGCGCTCTGGAAAGAATCGAAACCGCGAGTATATTTACTAATCAAAAATACATTTGGTTCGATTAGATTGGATGCCGCACTCGCATCACGACAATGTAACGTACGGTTCACTATCAAGTACCGTGCCGGTTGTTTGATCGATGAGCCTTACGGTATACTCTCAATATTTCAGAATCGAAAGGTCACGAATTCGACAACCACTTTTTACCCATAAACATATAATAGATTAAATCGTTTGGAACGAGCTCATCGTGCCACTCTTGAGAGAACGTATCGCAACAGAAGAATTGCTTTGCGGGTCGGAGCCGACGAGAGTTTTTAATCGCAGACCGCCGATCCCGCGAAAACAAAAATGCAGAATCAAGTTCCTTCTTTCCGCTGTGCTGACTACGAGAAGTGAGATCGAGCGACACGAGTTGAATAGGATAAAAAAAAAAACAAAGGAAAAGAAAAATAGAAAGAAAAAAGAACAGCAACGGAGGAGGAAGGAGAGAGAGATTTTTCACGAATTCTGCAAGTCGCGCGCGCGAAATCGCGCGACCAGTAACAATCGATTTGGCGAGTCAGCCGAGGCTGCTGCTGGCTGCAGCCGATTAGTCTCGAGTTTCGTTTCTTTTCTCTGGCTGCCAGACAACAGCTCTGTGATATTTTTATTTTCCCTCTTTTATTTTTTTTCTTCTGGCTCACCTGTCAGCGCCACATTATTTATTCAGCGTATGAAACGTTCGCCTCTATCTCCGTTGAGCGCTCGACGTCATATTTGTGAAATCGCTTCGACGAGTCGGTACTGCTGTTCATTTAGCATTCAATCAAGACGAAATCGCTCTTTTTATTGAATTTCATCGAGAGAGAGAGAGAGAGAGAGAGAGAGAGAGAGAGAGAGAGAGAGAGAGAGAGAGAGAGAGAGAGAGAGAGAGAGAGAGAGAGAGAGAGAGAGAGAGAGAGAGAGAGAGAGAGAGAGCACGAAACTGCCATCCAGCACGGTATCAGTCCGCGAGTACGCAAAATCCGCTCGACAGAATTTGAACGATTGATTATTAATTAATCCCGACACGCGGACGCGCAAAATTTTCATTCCTCATTAAAATCCAAGCTTTTCAAGCGCGCCGCCGCCCATTGTGTCCATTAGTTTCCACGTTTGCGTGTACACAATTAATTATGTCCTCTCTCGCGCGAGAAAAGAAAAAAGATGAAATGTATATTGCATTCGGCCGATAGCTCGTCAATGCCGTCCGACTGTAAGGTCACAATAATGGAACACGCGCGCAAGCTCTAGTTGTCGGATGACAACTGGGCCCCGAAAAACCAGTTTCGAAAACAAGAATTGCATTCTTTCGCTATCGACTCGAGGGATTATTTTCATTCCAGGTGCAACGCACTCGCCACGGCTACGTATAATCGAAAAGCTAAAAGTCATGTATGCATACGACGTATAAAGCACGTAAGCGGTCGTCGCTTTGTTGTGACAACTAATTTGCAAAGCGAATTATTAACTGCGATTGAGATGCCGTAAATTGTCAGCTGCCGTACAAACACGAAATCTCATTTATTCTTTTAGTCATCTCGTTACTCCCGGTATTCTTCTCGTGGATGCACTTGATTATTTGTTTCGTATCGGCCGAGACTTTCGTATCTCACGCGAAAAAACAATCACTGCGTACGAAGGGAAAGGAGTCGCGGTACATTCGGCATCGATCGTCACCGAGACAAAGATTCCCAACTGAACACTCAGACGCCCGCAGCTCTCTCTCGCTCTCTCACTCTTTCTCAAGCCATTCATTCTTCAACTTGTAACCTTCCCTCTTTCTCGCGCGAGATGTAGCTTCCATATACACGTTTGGAGCTGGCGTGTATATATAGGTATATCTAATCGCGGTGTAACATTTTTGCCGGCATACAAAGCAGGAAGAGCGAGAGGAAGAAGGAAAAAATATGAAAATGGGAAAGCAGGTCACGTGCATCGAAGGCGCATCAACGAGCTATATAATAACGACTCCGTTTAATATATAAATATACTGGCCTGCTGGAATTAATATCATAGCTACGTACGACAGACATTCTCCGTGGAGTGCATTGTTGCACTTTCGTTGAATTGAAAAGTAGGTAATGACCGAGTCGCGCGCACAATCGAACAACCACTTCTCTCGTCGACTCGAGTTTTATCAACGAGCCACGTCGTCGTTACACGTATTATCGCCAGCTCGACATCCCGCACACTCGCGCACAAAAGAGAGTGCGAAAAAGGCGGATTCCGCTCTTTCTCGGCACTCGTTGCTCGCTGCGAGCCGCGGCAGAGAGAGAGAGAGAGAGAGAGGGACTTAGCTTAGTTTAGCCCCGATCGGAATCGTTCGATCGGTAAACGAAAAGAGCCGACTTTCACTCCGCGCCAGCGAGAGATCGTGCAGCGCTGCATCCGAGCGTTCTCGCACTCGCACGCCGTCGAAAAACCTACCGATTTTTCGCCGCCAACAGTGCCTATGAACTTTCGGCCTCCTTTTTTTTTTTCTTTTCTCTGCTTCGCCCCTTCCGCCCAGCCATCGGCAGGCGCTAGGGGCATAATTGCGAGAACGATCGAGCTTATAATTGCGGCGCGCGGGCGCACGCGTCGATCTCCGATCGTGGTGATCGATGATCGAGGCTCGTCGAATTAATTAATCCGGGATCATTGTTCGTCGACGTTTCGCAGTCGCACGTCTCGATTACGCAGAGCGGATAATCACCACCTTCCCTCCCGAGTTTTCTAGAGCACTTTTCCAAGCAGCGCGACATTGTGCGCGCGCGCGCGCTTGACATTGCCACGATGCGCCAACACCTCATAATTACGGAGTAACGTGTTGTAATCGGGACAAATGATTTTTCGCACGAACTTTCTCGACCGAGAATCGCGTGCGAGCTGCATACGTGCGCTTCCGATTGGACGGCAAACGCTTAACGATCCCGTGATTTCTTTTTTCTCTTTTTTTCTTTTTTTTTGTTTTTCAGTTGCAGCGGATCTGAAAGAGTCTGCGGAGCTTCGCGCAGGATTAGAGCGTATTTTACAAGATGGACGCTTTTAGGACACGTTTCTCCGTCGACTAACAGCGCTTTTGTAAATATTTAACAGTCTTTCGCCGAGTGTCGAACGGCAAATACGAGTTTCCC